TAAAAAGTCTGTACACTGTATGCTTAAGATACCTGTTAAAATCCCATATGACATGACTTGGATTTTTTTTTTTGTGAAATAGTAACTGTTTAATACTTTTGTAATTTTTGAAAAGTTAAAGTGGAAAAATGACAAAATTTTATTCATATTACATTTTCACTAGGCTAATTTTTAAAAATGCACTTACTCTACAAAAATGGTAAGCTCCCAAAGGAAAATTTAACTCAGGAATTATTACAATAAATATGATTAGTTTGTATCTCTGAAATTAAAAAAAAAAAAACTTTTCATGTATAAACCAATGACCACTTATTCCAAAACATTTTTTGTTTCGACCTTTGAGGTTGTTGTTTAACTGTATTTTTTGTTAAGGTTTACTTATTTGTGCATACAGAACTGGGGTACAGACCAGAGGTGCAGGGGCAGTGAGAGGTTTCACCAGAGACAGAATGGGGAGCAGAACAGGCAGATCAACGAATTACACTGTTGAGGGGAGCAGTGGGCGATCAGGAGAGGTCTGCCCGCACCATGTGGGTCGGTTCCAGGGCAGGCAGGGATCGAACTCTTGCAGAAGTGGCTTTAGCTTCTTAGTGCTGAGTTTCAACCCTCTGCGCCACCAGAGAGGGCCCTAACTGTACTATTTTTAATTAATTTAATGTAGTACATTGCATCTATATAATTCAGTGGTATAAGTTCATGTCCCTTCAGCTGTATGCCACAAGCCATACCCCAAACCTAGACAAACATAGTACTACTTTTAATCGTGTTTATTCTAACAAGACTTAAAGCTTGTTAAAAATGTTCTATTTCAATCACTCTTCTTTTATATTTTGCTCTTATATTGAATAGAGAACTATAAAATTGAATTTAGGGAACAAAATTTCTAGTTCCAAAGTTTTTATGGTCAGCCAAAAGACCTAGAATAGTCAACAGAATACTGGTGGAAAAGAACAAGCCTGAGAATGAATGGTAGTATACAACTTCAAGGCTTATCCATAAAGCTGCAGACATTAAAACAGTTTCATACTGGCAAAAATAGACAGCTATATTAATGGAATGGATAAAGAGCATATAGGTAGAACTACCTAAACATGGTCAACTAGTATTTGAGACAGGAGCAAAAGGAACACAAGAGTGAAGACAGTTTTTAAACAAATTTGCTAGCTCAGCTGATGTTCACATGCAAAGAAATAAACCTAGACACAGAACTTACACTCTTACAGCAACCAGTTCAAATGGAGCACAGACTTTGATGTAAATGGAAACTATAAAATCTCAAGAGATAACATATAAGGCAGTCTAAGTGGCTAGGGATTTGATGGTGACATTTTAGATAGAACACCAAAGACATGGCCCATGAAAGAAATAATGGCTGAGCAGGAAATCATTAAAATTTTTAACTTTTAGGGCCCTCTCTGGTGGCACAGTAGGTTAAAATGCAGCACTAAGAAGCTAAAGTCACTTCAGCATGAGTTTGATGCCCACCCTGGTGTTGACCCCCATGGCGCAGCAGACCTCCCCTGACCTGTGTACTGCTCCCCTCAGCAGTATACTTTGTCCATCTCTCTGTCTTGCTCCCCAGTCTGTCTCTACTGTACCTGCACCTCTGGCCTGCACCCCAGTTCTGTATGAATAAATAAATAAATCTTTTTAAAAATAATAACTTTTATTCTGCAAAAGACAGTGTCCTCAGAATAAGGATATGAGCCATAGACTGAAAGAAAATATTCACAGAAAATATATCTGGAAAAGGACAATTATCTAAAATAAGCAAAAAACTCGAGTTAAATGAAGAGAAAACAAATAGCTTGACAGGGAAAAAAAAAGAAAGGTCAAAAGTTTAATAGACATCTCATTAAAGAAGACATACAGATATATAGATGTCCAACAAGCACATCAATGGTGTTCCACATCATGTATCATCAGGGATAAAAATTATAAAGTAATAATGATATACTAATGCACACCTAATCAAGTGGTGAAATCAGACTGACAGAACACTAAATGGTAAGAAGGATATGAAAAGAAATCTCATTCATTACTAGTAGGGATGGAAATTGGTACAGCCACTTTGAAAAATAATTTGGCAATTTCTTATAAAACTAGCCCAATCTTATGAGAAGATCTAACAATCATACTACTTAGGCACTTATTTCCTCAAATGAGTTGAAAACTGCACACAGGTACTACATAGTTTAATGCATAATGTGGGAGCCAAAACTTAGAAGCAGTAGGTAAATGGATTTAAAAAAAAAAAGGAATGTCCAGACAATAGAATATTATTCAACACTAAAAAATTAAATAAATAAAAAGAGGGATATAGAGCCATGAAAAGACAGGGAGACACTCTAAATCCTTATTACTAAGTCTTAAGGAATCAGATAGAAAAAAAAAAGAAAAAACAAAACATGCACTATGCTTTCAACTATTTGACATTTTGGAGAGAGCACAACTATGAGAATTGTAGCAGGGCTTGCAATAGCTTAGAGAGCCAGAAGGGATGAAAAGGCTGAGTACAGACGACTTTTAGGACAAGGAATAGATCCATAATGGTAGATATATTCCATTAATCATCTGTCCAAACTTTTAAAATACACAAACTACCAGTGAACTCTAATAGGAGCTATGAATTTTGGATGATAATGATGTTACAATTATTTTCATCAATTATAACAAATATATGACTCTATGGAAGATGCTGGTAATGAAAGAGGCTACTTATTGTGGATACAGGTAGACATGGGAAATCTCAACATGTTCTTCTCAATTTTGCTGTAAACCTAAAACTGCTCTAAAAATAGTCTATACATGGCCCTCCCTGGTGGCTCAACAGGTTAAAGCACAGCACTATGAAGCTAGCCACAGCTACTACAACACGAGTTTGATCCCCGGCCAGAGAGGTGACCACATGGCGTGGCAGACCACTCCTATCTCACCCACTGCTCCCCTCAGCAGTGTATGTCAGTCAATCTGCCTGTTCTGCTCCCCACTCTTGTCTCTGGTGAATTCTCTCATTACCCTGCACCTCTGCCTTGTACCCCAGTTCTATATGCATAAATAAGCAAAAATCCTTAAAAAAGATAAAAATAATCTATACAAAAGGTCAAATTCAAAGTAGCACTAAATTTCTAAATAGTTCCCTTTAATTAAAGAGTACATCAAAATATTTGTTTTTAAAACTTAATTAGCTATCACTGAAATGTGTATTTATATTTGAATATGTTGTAAAGATAGGACATGGTGAATCTTCTTTTCTGAATCAAATGATACCTATATTAACATATCAAGAAAAAAGATGGATTCTTAACACACATTACTTATACTCTGCTAAGACTCCATCTTTTTTTTTCAGAGTCAAATTATAATTACCCAGATCTTTGCAATTAAAAAAATACTTATCCTCTAACTGCATATATTTTATCTTACTTTATTGAAACTTCATTTTAAACAGCAAGAGTTTGAATGTTGAATAACCATGATTTAATTATGTGAATGCAATTTAACTGCACGCAGTATAATATAATACAAGAAATGATCTCAAAGCTTTAACAAGGAAATAATAAATCATCGAAGGAAAATGCCTCAATAATGAAACAAAACAAAAGCACAATAGCCAAGTTTCAATTACACTATATTAGCAAACTAGATTTAGCATAGGGCTTGGAAACTTTAGATCTTCTATCCATTATATTTAGTTATTCCCCTGAACTTGCCCTATCTTTCTAATTCTACTGAATTTACCTACATCTTTATCGGTTTATGAAAAATTAAACAAAAATTGTAGTTCATCTTCATACCTCTAGATAATTTCCTTGCCAACCCAGAGACAAAAATTATGAAATTCACTCTCCTAAATGCACATAAATGACTGTGTAGTTATTGTCCCAAATCTGCATTCAAATATTCCACAGTGGATGGACTGCATTATTCTACAAGTCTACTTTGCTCTTAATTATTTCCTTGCTAACCTGAGGGACAAATTCTACCCACTATTTTGCTATAAAAATTTGTGTTTTTTTTTATAAAACTCTTCTTCAATTTTATACTTATAGTCTCTAATTGTGTTAATAAATATAATTTATCTTTGTAATATATTTTTTACACTCTGATACATATACATCACTGAGTTTTATCATTAGCCACTTTTAAACAAGAGTCTAGTCCTTAGGTTTTTCTTCTGAGTTTGTGTAAATGTAAAAGCAATGTTGAATTAATTCATAAAAATTTCATCTGTTAATACTTAGTAAAATAAGCCAGAAAGAAAAGGAAAAATACCGAATGGCTTCACTCATAGCAGGAGTATAACAGACAAGGCGAGAAAATAATAATAATAATGAACAGTTATATTCCAGAGATATTTTGTGGGGGTAGAGTGGGGAATGAGATAAAAAAACAGTGGGAGAGGGAAATGCACTGGACTTTGGTGATGGCACATGGGTGATTTGGTGATGGGAAGCCCCAGGGGATTATAGCACAAACTAATGGAAAAATAAACTATTGAAAAGAAAAAAAATGGCATCTGTGACTTTTGAGAAGCATTAAGGCATATTATCTCAACCAGTCTTCTCTATCTCTCTATCACTAGTTATTCTCTTAACTACAGATGGGACTTAATTGTTGTTTAAATACATCTAACATTTATACTCCCACAATATTGCTCACTAGCTATTTAGCACTTCCGTTGGTAGTTTTCTAGCCCAAACTAATCAATTTTACTATGAATTCTTATTATTTTTTAACATAGAAAAATATAAAATTTGGTAGTTTACATGAGACAAAAATAAAGTGCCAAATTCAACAACTTGCTTTATCAAGAAAGATAATAAGCTAAAATCATATAGTACATGAGCAAAATTCAACTTGATGAATAAAGTAACCATGATAAACTAATGGAAACATATATCCACCAGGAGCTCTGAATGGCTCCTTTCTGACTAGAGAAAATGTTTGCTATGTGTTCCACTGTGCCAAGGACAGACGGGTGCTTTCCAGACACTTACCCTCTGACAGCATGAATAAGTCTCAATGATGGATAGGCAGTTCGCACTTTCAGTTTATTCTTAAGGATTAGTGCATTAACCCACTCCACGTGCTTTTCTCCTCCTTTGACCATGAACGCAGGGATCCAAAGGACACTGTCATTCAGCATGGAAAGTCTATGCACAAATTTTTCTCTGTCACTCTCATTCCGAAAGCCTCCAAATGCTCTTTGTACAACTGATGGATTCATGGTAATAAAGTCTGATTTAGTGCCCACATCTGCAGCAAACTCCACCACAGGGGCTAGATTACACCTGAAGAGGAAAAAATTAAGGGACAAATGAAAAATAAAATCAAACATTCACTCTTAAAATGCTGTGCATGAAAAAAAAAAAGAATAGGGAATGAATATGTTTTTTTTTTCTCATTAGGTAGGGGGGGAAAGCTTTATCTGTCTGGTAAAATTATATTTTCAATAATCACCACCCATTCAGGATTACGGCTTTCAGTAAGTATAGGGCTTATATTGTCATTTATATTAATTTGACCTGTTGTGTAAGAATACTCTCCTTTACCTTCATAAAACCACATGGTATGAATTCCTCATGAGTAAATTTCCGATGGCAAATTTGTAAAGGCCCTGTTGCCTTGAAGTAGGCAATCTCAACTAAATGCTGTTCTGTAAGTCAAGCACATTAGACCTAATATACAATCGGCATCACTTGTCAAGCTTAACTCATTTTGACAACTTTATAAACATTAGTAAATGAAGACAATTCTCTGTACCCTGCAGCCAAGAGACAAGCACAATTCCTTATATTATTTTCCACAAATATGCTTGCAATTGCCTTAGTCTATAGGTTTAAGTGGGAAAGAAATGCAAGATAATACAGTTATCACTTTAAATATTCCTCTTTGGGTATTAATAATACAGGAAATCCCCTATATAAGATCAATACCTTTCTGTTCTTTTAATGACATTCTCAAAATACAAGATTTCCCTGCTAAATGCCATCTACATCCTATGGAGAGGGGACAGAATGTGTCTTTTTCTCTTCACTGAAGCTCTAAGAGCCTTATTAAGCAGTTGGGACTAGTTTTATTCTTGTAACCTGATTTCATTCTTGTATTACAAGAACAATTTGGAAAGTACCTTGAATTTTGTTTCCAGCCAATTTATGACGGCTTCTTTGATTTTTTTTCGGATAGATCTTTTTAATTAAGCAAAATCTACATTGTTAAGAGATAAATGGGAAAAAAATAAAAATTTAAACTTTTGTTCATAATAGTCTTTTCATGTTATGTATTTTTATACTCACGACATTCTGTCACAGAGTACTTATTTGTCTCCACCCACAATGCATACCACCACTAGAAGCGAGGTATTCTCCATCCCACCACAGTAAGAGTATTATTTATTTTTTACAAGATTTATTTTATTTATTCATGCATACAAGAGCTGGGTATAGACCAGAGGTGTAGGAAGGGGGTTGTGAGAGGATTCACCAGAGACAGAGTGGGGAGCAGAGCAGGTGAGTTGACTGAATTTTACTGCTGAGAGGAGCAACGGGCAAGACAGGAGAGGTCTGCTGCACCATGTGGATGCACTGCAGTGACTGCTGATAGCTTCACAGTGTTGAGACTTACCCTCTTACACTACCAGGGAGGCCAGTAAGAATACTGTGAATGGGATCTTGTCGAGAAAGAACAGCTACCGGAAACAAAGGCCAAATTGTACAATTCATCAAAGTGTGAAGACTTGATACTTTCTGAAGTCCTAAAATGAGCTCTACACAAATTTTAAATGTACTTTAAATACTAAGAACCTGATTTTAAGATAAATCTGGATATTGTGGCGAAAATGAATTATGAAAATCATCTTCACAGACATACTTCCTCAGATAAAAATTTGATAATGCTGGCCCTCCCTGGTGGCGCAGCGGGTTAAAGCACAGCACTGAAGAATCTAAAGCCGCTTCCACATGAGTTCTATTCCCGCCTGCCCCGGAGGTGACCACATGGTGTGGCAGACCTCTCCTGACCCGCCCGCTGCTCCCCTCAGCAGTGTAATTCCTCGATCTGCCTGTTCTGTTCCCCACTCTGTCTCTGGTGGCGCCTCTCACTGCCCCTGAGCCTCTGGCCTGTACCCCAGCTCTGTATGCACAAATAAATAAATCTTTTATAAAAAAAAAATTTGATAATGCTTGCTAACATTATATTTAACATATCCCTGTCAGGAGAGATGACTTCAAATGTATCTTTGAATTCAATTCCTCAGGAATTCTTTTAAGAGAATTTCAACTAAATAAAAACAGCATCTATTATTCATTTTCTCTATATTATAAATTATCTAGAGGCAACCCATCAAAAAAAAGGAAATATAGCATCCTACTAAATTATTTTATCAGAGAAAATCATTTTATGTTTTACATTATTTTTATTATCACATATTTAACAGCTCCTTTACCCTCAACTTTCTAATATCTCATTTAGGATTAACTCAGTATGTTTATCTAAAACATGATTTCTTAGTCACATGTCTTCTTAAAGATAAGGTGCTCATCCGTAAATTTTTGGAAGATTTATTTATTTATGCATACAAGAGGGGGTTAGGCAGTTGGGGAGAGTGAGAAGATTTACCAGAGACCGAGTGAGAAGCAGAATGACAGAAATACACTGCTGAGGGGAGCAGTGGGCAAGACAGGAGACGTCTGTTGTGCCATGTGGGTCATCCCCCCTGCCAGGAATTGAACTTGTCTTGCAGTGGCTGCAGCTAGCTTCATAGTGCTGCTCTTTAATCCACTGTGCCACCAGGGAGGGCCCATCAATAAAGTCTGATGTTAGAAGTTAGACACTTTCCACCATGGGCACAAAAGTAGACTAACAGAATAAAACTATTTCTGGAAAACAAGATCAATCTAAGAGATAAGCCATGCATTTGATACAATCAGAGAATGTTCAATGACGGTGGTGCTAACTAAAAGAGCACCAGAAGATAGAATAATCAAGGTTGACTGTAAAGTTTGTATTGCCTAAGCATTGCCTAATCTGGCTTTCTGAGGGATGGAGAAAGAGGGAGTGAGGACAGAATGACAGAAGGACATTTTGCAATATATAACTCATGCTGGTACTAGGAGTCATACCAGTTTGTTTTCTGGAAAGATCAACATCATATCCACGTGTCCAGTAAATTAACTAATCTTTGCTTGAGTTAGATATTTAGTAATATAATTAGCTTACTGGCACAAAGTCAGGGCAAGAATTAAGGAAGCCAAAATAACCAATCAGCTGTGTTGTACTCCAGAAATTCAATAGACTTGTGAACTTCATAATATTGCAAGCAGTAATATTGCTGATTGAGCAAGATTATGCATAGATTCACAATCATATGCTCCTCATCCTCTTTAAAAAAATCTGAGGTTATAATATGCTAAAGTAACCAGAATGTGCCATAAAGCATTTATGAAGTATCACATTATTTCATGTTACTCTTGATCTTACAAAATTGAAAGGTGGCCAATTTTAAAATGACAGATTGCTATAAATAAAAACGGAGTGAATAAGAATATTTAATATGCTCAAGTTTTATCTCTTTTGCCAAATTAAATTTGGTGCCATACAACTATTTTTCACATATTAAAAGTATGAAAACAAATATATAGTTAGATGTGTTATCCAAACTCCCTGTTTCCTGGAAGCTGCTCAATTCTCAGTGTACTAGCACTCATTGTCAATCACTGATTAAACACCTCCACAAGTATAGCTGCTACTTCTTATATTTTGGACCTTAAAATTTCTCCTGTGATCTCTATAAGATGTGATTGTTTCTTTTTTTTTTTTTTCTTTTAATTCATTGATGCACATAGAACTGGGGTAGAGGCCAGAAGCACAGGGTTGCAGGTGAGAGGATTCATCAAAAACAAAGTAGGGAGCAGAACAGGCAGACTGAGAAGTACACTGCTGAGGGGAACACTGGGTGGGGCAAGAGAGATCTACTGCACCATGTGGGTCACCTCCCTGGCAGGGCATCGAAATCAAGCTGAAGCTGTTGCAGCTAGCTTTGCAGTGCTGAACTTTAGCCCATTGAGTCACCAGGGAGGGCCCCTGTTATTGTTTCTTAACTTTCCTTTTATGCAGAACTGAAAGTATTTCAAGGCTATATAGGCTTTTGTTTTTCATTTTTAAGGAAAGAAGTGTTAATTTCACATGTAATCACTCAATATCACAGAATTTCTTAGCAAGATATATCTTAGATTTGTCAATATTCTGCAAATTTCCCTTAAATTATCACTCAGTATCCTAAAAACAAGAAAAAAGACCAAAAACAAACAAACAAACAAACAAACAAACAAACTACTCTCTCTTGCAGTAGCTCACAGATAAGGTTTCAGAATTCACTGTGCCAATATTAGATTGGGTGCTCAAAATTTATTTTCCAGATATTCTACTACTTTGCAATGATATAATCTGACTAAAGTATAATTCTGATAGTTTTTATTAGTGATATCAAGGTAATACACATTTACTTAGCCATGTACTTATTCATTCCAAGGTCATGTTGTTATAAATTTGTGCTAGATGCAGAATTGCCCATCTGAAATAATAAAGTAAAACAGTGTGCACTATGAGGTAGGAAGCTAAAAATTACATCTTTACACAGATAATAGGTTAAATGAGAAAGAAACAATATTCATAGATCACGGACTAAACTATTCTTTTGCACCATTAATTAATATTCAGAGAAGTTCCTAACACAAGATTAGTATTATTTTTCTCTTTTGACCAGTTCCACTGTGTGTATCCATGAACTAACATTGAATTCCCCAATCTGAACCATCACTACCAATGGGACCATACTTTTCAACCAACTTCTGGGAAATGGGAGACAGCCTCTTTTCTTTCCTCAGAAGAAGCCAATGGTTCCTATCTAAACTCATCCCACTTTTGAGGTTGAAGAGTCAAGAAAACAAAGACCCTCTGGGACTTGTCTGTTCTGGCATTGTGGCTAATGTCTCAGAATTGCCTGGGAAACTGATTCATGCAACTTAGCGATTACTATAACACTTTGGGGTGAGGTTAGTGGGTTCCAAATAGGGCTAAAACCAATAATTTCTGCAATACTCGGTGGTATTAAACAGGATTATCTCCATTTTATAGACAAGAAAATGGAGTCAAAGTGATAAAGAAATGTATGCTAGGAAACAGTGCAAATGAAAGAAAAGCTCAGCCACTTTAGAATGACTCCAGTGTAATAGTTTTAACTGGTACAGTTTGCACATGATTTCTTTCAGAATCAAAGAAATGTCTTTATGAT